CACTCGAGAGCTTTAGTTTCACACCCTCGTATAACATCGCTCGAATTCTGGAGGATCCTCCTTCTTACCAACCTATGTAAGTATCTATTATGAGTCTTATGGGTGGCGAAAATAATTTACGATCACTTGACCACCGTTAAAAGCTCCGAAGGTAAGGATATTTGTCATCCAACTCTACGAGTACTCTCAGAAAAATAAGTTTCGGTTACTCTCAACAGTGATTTCCCTACCATTGCGTTTCTTTCTCAAATCTTCAACATTTAGGATGAAGATTGTCAAAAAGGCTCTGAAGATGAGCTTTAAAATATCTTTAGAAAAATAAATTTCAATAATTTTCAACGGTGATTTCCCTAGCATTGTAGTCTTTTCGATCTCGAATCCTCAACGTTTAAGATAAAAATAGTTTACGATCACTGATTTGACCAAAAAAGCTTTGAAGATGAGCTTTAAATTTCAATAATTTTCAATGGTGATTTCCCTAACATTGCGTTTCTTTTCGATCTCAAATCATCAATGTTTAAGATAAAAACAGTTTACGATCACTGATTTGTTGACTGCTAAAAAAAGCTTTGAAAATGAGCTTTAAATTTCAATAATTTTCAACCGTGATTTCCCTAGCATTACGTTTATTTTCGCGCTCGATCCTCGATCAACGTTAGACCGCAAGATAGATGAAAAGCGACACGCTATTTTGCGAAACATTATCGGATACAAGGATCGAACGAGGCGAAGATGGATTTAATCGGTGTACAAATTTGCTGGATCGAAATTTTTGGCTCGGCAAGCCAGGCCGCCGATCCTCCGGATGACGCATCCATCGTGTTCCATCGCGTGTCAGGGCGGTGTTAAGGCGCGCGCGGGACATTCGATTTTATCGGGCGGCGCGCGATACATTATTTCAGCCGGTGAATAAATTTGCCAGAGCACTGTCAATATTTGATACGATGTGCAAACAGTTTCGTATGCCGGCAACGCCTCTAACGTACTTTACATATTCATAAAGCCGTGCGTTCCCCTGTTTTAACCGAGGGGGTATTGGTGAACGACGATGTTATCAATCGTGACGACCACACTCGAATCGAATCGTTTCATTCTTCCTCGATTCCTCGAATCGCGACGGGTGTCTCGATTTTTTCTTTCTTCTTCTTTTCCTTGTTTTTTCAATTCTCAAAATCACGAACGCGGAAGAGCGTTAAAAGCGAGGTTGAAATTAATCTTGGCTAGTTTTTAACGGATTCATCGTGACATCGTGATAGGTGTCGAGAGACAAAAGATTCGCTCCATCGGAAACGACGATTTCACAGGACACAAAAGGGAACTTTTTCCGCCCGTTTTGTGCCTCGTGGTCTCGCCAGCTTGGTGAGATCGCCTGTCCCTCGATAAAAATGGCAGCGTATCTCTAAAAAGATTTTCTTAAGACGAGCCCGGCTCGGACGTAAGAAAGGAGAAAAGAGATACGATCGTGCTTCAACCTTGCCAGAGAAGCGAACTCAATTTCTAAATGCAATGCTTTTGCATCGCGTTTTCTTTCGAGTGTTACGAAACGGATTACGTTTGTTCGATAACTCATCCCGATAATGTTTCAACGACGTTGTCTGTCAGGGAAATGGAAAATATTTCTCTTCCCGCGAGTGGAAATATTAAAATCCATTCCCTCCCGAAACGATCAATTTCCCCCATACCCGAAGCGAACTAGCTTATTTCTCACGATGGATTACGCGAGACAACGACTGCGTTTTCGTGGCTTTAAAATCCCACCCCTCTAAAATCGTTTCATCCCCTATTTAGGGAAAGTTAGATCAGATAAGACGAGGACGAGGGAACGAAACTTTTTATTACTTTCGAATTGAATTCTATAAATCCTCGAATCGTCGTCGTCGTCGTCGTCGTCGTCGTCGTCGTCGTGGAAGTGGCTTCGTCGCCACGATAATCGTTTCGCGATTTACATTCGCCCGTATTGGATTCGGAACTCGGAACGAGAAAAACAATTTCCCTTCACCGTGACAAACATTCGTCTCCTCGTGCGTTAGCTTCGAGGTTATAGACTCTGCTTCTACACGTCTGCGTCTCCTTCTTATTATTTCTTATTACACGACTCGTGTCTATATAAGACGAGCTCACAGGCTGAAACTCGTCAGCGGAGGCTTACTTACGTAACGATTCTGCCACAAACAGCGGAGAATCTAAGCGCAACCGATGTCAAGAGAATTACCCGTGTTCAAGAATCGGTTGCTAGTCTCGAACAAGTCTTGACGTCGCCCGGAGCTCTTCTCCAAA